TCCGAATTGGGGGGATTTTGAGGGAAGGGGAGGGAATATGAGTTTTGATATTTAAAAATTATTATATTTACTAAAATATCCTCAGTTTAATTTTAGTATTTCAAAACTATTCCTTTTCTTTCGTGTTATTACTTTTTCTCGATTGTTTCCATCAACTTATTATAATTGTTCTTCACCTTCAAATTATTTTATAATTTCTATACTTAATATAAATCATAATCATTGTCTTTTTTTATATAAAAATTATGTTTAGTTATATTTTTTTTTCTGTATTCTATCATATTTTCTTTTATATCAAATTGTAAACCATTCATTTTATTTATTTTTGTTTATTCATTTTATTAAATATTTTGAACCAATTAATATTTAATAATAAGTTATTTTATATATTTGTTTTGTTATATGATTCATAACAATTTAAACGATGTTATTGGCATATATTTTAATTTATGTTGGAAAGTTATAAGTTGAATCAATTGCACTCAATTTTTTAATTTTATGTGACAAATAAATACTTTTTTAATCACTCAATATTAAAAATTTTATTACCAACAAAAATACGCATGAATTTTTCACATTTTAATATCATATGACTTATATAAGATCATAAGGATAAAAATATAAATTATTAATAAAACCCCTCCCCTCCCCTTCTGAACCAAACACATTTTTAATTAAAATCCCTCCCTTCCCCTCCCCTCCTCTCTTTTGAACCAAACACTTATCTGATTAAAAAAATCACTCACCTCCCCTCCCCTTCATTAAAATCCCTCCCCCCTCCCCCTCATTTGAACCAAACAAACCATTAGGGTTTCATGAAGATCTTTCACTTCTTCTTTCATCAAGACACAAGTCTCGCATTTACCATCTTGGTTTCTCAGATTAGCCATTTCTTATCTTAGTGTTTCATTACTATTTTCTAAACTCTATGTAGTCTTTAAGATCTATGTTATGATTTTAAATCGTATCATGTTCTTCAATTAAATTAGTGTTTGATTTAACGAGTTACTTGTATGATAGAGTTGTTACCTCAAAATCATATTCTTCATGAGAAGCTTTTAAGCAAACTTGTTCATCTTCTTCGTTGGAAGAAGATTCTAGTAGAGGTTGATTATTTGAGATTTCTCCTTGATGATGAATCTCTGAATATATTGCTTGTTGATACTTCTTTATCATATCTTCTTTCAAAGACTCTATTGGATCAAATTTATTCTTCTTCGTATTCATTTCTTGATGAAACTTCTCCATTGGATGTTGAATCTTCTGAGGATCATTCAATCACCGAGATTATTCTTTCAAATGAGATTACTAGATTTGACTCTTCTTCATTTTTAAAAGATTTATTTGATGAAGTTGCTAGAGATTTTTCTAGATTTGAGCTTATTCCTTCATCTTTTAATAGTTGAATAAAATCATTTAGTTTCATGACAAATTCTTCTTTCTTGGATTTTTCCTAAAATTTGTAAATATTCCCATATCTCGATTTAAGGATTAGATTAGATTTCTAATTCCTATTCTTAACTATTAGATATTTGTTAGCTAAGAAAGTTATAACATGGTTTCAAAGATTTCTAAAGGTTTAAAAACATTTGTGAAAGTAACATTCACATTCATCTTTTTCTCCTCTTGTGTTTATTCCCTCTTATTTGATACTTATAAATACTCCATAAATCATTTCAAGATTGTCCAACATTTCCTTGGCAGAATTGCAATTAAATACATAATGAAATTTTTTTTTTAGTTAAAGACATAACTAAAAAAATTTTAGTTTTGAAATCAGTTTCAAGCTTTCTCTTTTCTTCTTCAGTCTAAAGGAAATTCAGTTTATCTACTACTTCATTATTAACATACTGAGTAGTGATAAACAGACCATTGATTATTACTTCACACGATTCAAAATCAAATCGTTGAATGAAAATTTTAAATCTAGCTTTCCACAATTCAAAGCTAGATTTGAAGTAATAAGTGGAGGTGTATATAAGAAAGTTCTATTATTAAAAAAAGTGTTTGAAGTCATCTTCCTCTTGAGACGATTAGTCTTTATATATGAGTTAGAACTAATACTACTAGTTGAACATATAACTCCATTGACAAGAGGGGGTGAATTGTGGAGGTTGGAAAATCGATGATTTGAAGTAAAATCATTTGATAAATCAAAGTTTAAAACCATTTTATAATAACAGCTGAAAATATGTAGCAGGAATTCAAAGTAGAGAAAATTGTTCTTTAGAGTATCCACTATGCTTAAGAGCTTCTATAAAGTTATGCCTAGGAACTTCTTCATACAAGGAAATAAAGTTTCAGGCTAACTTCTAACCAAACATCGAACAAGACTTGATGTGGTCACTCTCCATGCCAAACAGTGATTTTGCATAGGATGATCTTAAACAAAAACAAAGTTTTAAGTTGGCTATCCTCCGAACCAAACCTGAGTTATGCATAAATTGATCACGAACAAAATCGAGATTTTTATTGGGATAATTTCATACCTCTTGAGTTTTTGCATCAGGATGAACTCAAAAACCATGTGATTTCCACTAGCTAATCTTCAGGAACCAAAAAAGAGCTTTTCTTCATTGGTGGAGCTCAAGAACCAAACAAAGACTAAAACAATTCCCCAATTACAAGCAAGAATTTTTTAAATGGTTTAACTTTCAACTAAAATACCAACTTTCTATGGAAGAATTATGTATATAATAGAAAAATTAACTCTTCATAAATTTACAATTTTCCCCTCACCCAGGAATAATATTCCTCATTGGACTCGAGAACACTCCTAAAGCATTATGGCTAAATATATTCGAGAGAATACGATAGAATTGAAGATGTGATGAGTGAAATGAAAAGTGATGTTTTTCACATTTTTTTGACGTGAAAAAGTGATAGAGAAACTCTACTATTTATAAGCCAAGGCATGATATAAATTTAAAACAATCCATGAGACTCTTAAGTTGCCTAATGGATTTGAAACAATCCATATGCACCTCAAAAAATCGATTGTTGAGGCCCAAAAAATCAATTGTAGAACCCTTACCGATCATTAATAGACTCCCACAATCAACAATAAACTCAATTAGGTATTATCAAATCGATTAGTAAAAATATCTAATCGATTAGATTGTTATACAAAAAATCCTAAACAATTAGGAAATTTCCTAATCAACTGGTTATGCGTCAAAAATATTTTACCTGAAGGGCGAGTTGATTCGGTTCGGGGGGGGGGGGGGGGACTAGGAGGCCACCCAAGAATATCATCAAAACAACCTATAAATGAGGAGGGAACACGTCGCCCAAGGGAGGTCACCTTTCATTTGAGCATAAAATACTTGCAGAAGCACTTGATTTTGATTTTTTTTCTTTCCTATTTTGGAGATCACTTGTATGGTTAAGACGGAAGAAAAATACATGAAGAAAATTAAGGTTGGAACTTGGAAAAAGTAGGATGTTAGAGACGAAAGAAAATTGGATAAACAACCCTTATGCTTGTTAAATATAACTTTCAATTTATAGAAACCTCTTAGATCACACCATTAGAAGTCTCAATAACGTCGCAATTGGATGTGACAAATGTTACATAACGACACCATAAGACTAAAATTGAGTTGCCTATATTATTAGGTAGGACGTCATCACCAAAATTCGAACTCTAATACTTACAATTGTGTGTGCGGGTTTCTAATAATTTTTACCACCTTATACATAAAAAAAATTAAATTGCCTATAAAATGAACCATTATACTAAAATTGTCCCAAACTGAATTTGGACAACCTGATTTACTTATATATTTTCTACACCAAAAAAAACCTATTTTTTTTCAAATAAATTCTCATTTTATGCCTAAAACTATCTACAAAACCATAAGTCAAAACATTCTTAAAACTTGTTTTTCTGGATACACACTTTTTAAAATTTTCAGAAATGCTATGTTGACACTATAAAGTTACATTACACTGTGTGTATGTACGTTTATTTTGTACTAAAAAAGTTGTTAAATATTCATATCATTTTCTCTCTTTTTGTGGGGTCATCTTTTGTTTACTTGTGTCAGATTTTATTCTACTATTTCTCTCTCTCTCTCTCTCTCTCTCTCTCTCTCTCTCTCTCTCTCTCTCTCTCTCTCTCTCTCTCTCTCTCTCTCTCTCTCTCTCTCTCTCTCTCTCTCTCTCTCTTTACTTTTCTATATTACACACATTCTTCTTCACTCACCATTCTTTGACATCTTCCATCAATATTGTATTTGCATCTCAAACGATACTCAATTAAATTATGAAAATAATTATTATATTAAGAAAAATTTATAAAACAAATTTAGATAATGTAGTGCAAGAAGTTGGTTAATTGTGTTTGAATTTTGATTAATATAAACTCAAACGTCAAAACACATAAAAATTGGTAACACAAAGTTGGTTAATGCAGTGCAAAATGTTGGTTAATTTCGTTTAAAGTTTGGTTAATATAAGTCCAGATATTAAAACATAATACAATTGGATGAGAAAACTTGATTAATTGAATGCAAGAAGTTGATTAATGGCATTTAAAGTTTGGTTAATATAAATCCAAACATTAAAATATAGAAAGATTATAAAAAAATTTGATTAATAGACTACAAGAATTTAATTAAGTATGGTTTGAGATCCAAATAAAAAAAGGCATAATTAGTCACTGGGTCCTTTAACTTTGAGCGAAGTTTTACTTTAGTCCCTGAACTAAAAAACGTTACATAATGATCCTTTAACTTAAGTTCTGTTAAATCATTTGGTCTCTTCCGTTAGTTTGTGTCAAAAACGTTAGTTTGTGTGAGCTGACATGCCAAGTAAAGGTTCCACATCAGCATATGTATATGTTACGTTACATAGGGTTCCATTTGGTTGCAGCTTCATTCTTCTTCCACCATTCTTCAGTCGTTTTCCATATTTCAAACTTCTTCCATCTTCTTCTTTAAATCAGGATTAAATCCCTTTCTTCCATCTTCCTTTTACCATCTTCCATTTTCCTACTATTATTTTTTTACATAACTAACCACTACTATTAAATCCCAAACCACACCCTGAAGAAAGCCAAAGCCAAACCGAAATCCAATATCAATGACACGAACAATCTGAAACACACAAAATAACCAAATAATAAAATACTAAAAGAATTGCTATCTTAGTTAACTCTACTATACTACGCAATGAGGGCTTCACAAAAAAGGGGAAGTTTTTGGAAGAATCAAAGTTACCTCATTTTTGAAAGAATATTGAGAATCATCAAATTGTGAACTATTACTACTACCAATTCGGATTATTGATGAAATTTTGTCTCTATCACTGTTAATCTTGCAACGTAGTCGTTTAAGGATCCACAAGAAAGCAAGAAATTCAACAGCAACAACAACAACCACACCAAGAAGAAAGCCAAAGAAGATGAAAGTAGAAACCATAACCATTTCACCGACCTTCAATTGGAATTTGTTGAAATCTGATGTTAGACCTAGCCAGAAGAGGGAAAAGAATAAAGGTTGAATTTTTGAAGATACCCATAAGTTGAAAATGGAATGAGATGCTAAGAAACAATAATAGTGCTGAAGAATCAGTTTATTTCTTTGTTGTTTCTTCAGAAAGTTGTTGAATTGAATATTTGTTAGAAGGAAAGTGGGGGAGAGAAAGAGGGGTTTGCATTTGTTTGGATTGACGGGGACATGGAAAATATTGAGATCAATTTTGTGGGTACCACTAAATTATTATTATTATTATTATTATTATTATTATTATTATTATTATTATTATTATTATTATTATTATTATTATTATTATTATTATTAAGTGTAGTATAAATTCTACCTCATCCATTAAAATAAATACAGAATATTCACCTAAGCCATTTAAATTTCAGCCATGCATATTCTAATGTTTTTCCAACCAAAACTAACATAAATGACTAATATATGTAACAGAGTATAAGTTAGTGGACTATAATGTAATGTTTTTTTAAGAGACCAAAGCGAAACAATGACTAAAGTTAAGAGACTAAAAGAGGTATTAAGCTAAAATAAAAATGGTAGGAGAGAGAAAAAAATTGCTACTCCGTCCCACAATGAGTGATTTATTTGGAATAAAATAGTATCCTAAAATTTATGATCTATTTCAATTTTCAATGTAATTTTTTTATTTTACTCTTTAATTAATATTACTTTCATCATTCCCTCTACGTTATAAAAATACTTTAGTAAAAATATCATTCTCTCTTTCATTTTTTTTCTGTATAAAAAGTCAACTGAATCACTTATTATGAGACGGAAGGAGTAATAAAATTGAAGCCATTGTCTAGAATATATGGTGTAGTGTAGAAGTGGGTGGCAAAATATCATTTATGTAAAATTTTTTAACCAATTATTACATTTTAAAAACGAGTACTAAACCCGGTCCATAGTGCACAAAATAAGCTTACAGTTCGAGTACCCATTATCCCAGTTTGGACTTTGGATATTGGATACCCACTTTCACAACCACACACTCGAAGAACCCTAAACCTAATCCCTAATCATCTCCGATTCTCTTCGATTCCTCCCTGCATTTCCATCACAAAATCCGACTCATTACTCGTAATTTCCCTCGCACACATTCATTAGAGATTGCTTTTGTTTTGTGCAATTTCAAAAATCTCAGGTTTTCGCGATTTTATTCGTGCACGGTATTAAGATATTTTTCTCGTTCTGTTCAATTTTCTCTTAATTTTTGTTCGTTCATATTGCTTTTTCATGATTTCGTTTGTTCTTTGAAGTTTGCTTCTAGATGTTTGATTTCTATTATATTCGTATCAAGTTGAAATTTAAGTTCGAAAATTTTAGTTGTTCATAAGTTAAAGATCATGTTTAATTTTTCATGGTATTGCTTGTTATATTGATTCTTAGTTTGTTGAAATGTTACAACTTGAGAAGAAACTTTTTTCTTGATTTTATGTCCTAATTTCTATTGTAAAACAGAAGCATTGTCAGTATGGGTGATTGTGATGACATGATACTCTCAGAAACAGCAGAACACATGGTTTCTATCCATCCACTTGCTTGTTCTCCGCCACTCTCTAAACCGCGTAGGAATCGGTCTGAAGCTTGGAATCACTTTACAATAGAGTCAGAAACAACAAAGAAAGCTAAATGCAATTACTGTGGCTCCTTGATCAAGTACGATAAGGGAACAAGTGCCATGAGAGCTCATTATACAAGATGCAAGGATAAGGATGAACCAAAGAACCATGTTAACAAGAGGCAAAGGTCAGTTTCATCCTCGACAGAAAATGTGGAGGGAAATATTTGTACTTCTCCTTCAACCCCCATGTTTGACCAAGAGGCAATCCAAAATGTAGTGGTGAAGATGTTCATAGATATGGATATTCCTTTTGAGCGTGTGGATCATGCAGGTTTTCATAATTTTATGAGCGTTGTGCTACCAAGATTTAAGGTCCCCTCAAGCATTGAATTAGTTCATGATATTTTGAGACTATGGGGTACAGAAAAAACAAGGTTGAAGAAGTTTCTTTCTCAAAACTGTCAACGAGTCTGCCTCACCATTGACATGTGGACTTCTTCTGAAAACTTTTGTTACATGTGTTTGACAGCCCATTTCATTGACAATGACTGGAAGATGAACAAGAAGGTTTTAAATTTTTCTCAAGTCATAAGCCACTCACAAGCGGTTATGGCTAAGATAGTGGAGCACTGCTTGAATGAATGGGGGATAAATTATTTGCTTAGTTTAACGAACGACAGTGTTTCACTTAACGATGATGAGACTCCAGATCTGAAAGACAAGCTTGTGACTCGAGATAGTTTAGTTCTGAATGGAGACTACATTCATATGCATTGTTGTGCGTATTTTTTGAATTTGATTGTGAAAGAAAGTTTAAAGGAGGTTGATGATTCTATTGTGAGAATTCGTGCTGCAGTGTGGTACATAAGATCTTCTCCTTCGAGATTTTCTAGATTCAAAGCATGTATTGAGCAACAAAACATTGAATATAAAGGTTTCTTTTGTCCAAATTTTGAAACAAGATGGGACTCGACATATTTAATGTTAGATGATGCATTGAAACATCAGAAGACATTTGAAAAGCTTGAGATGAAAGATCTTAAATATGTTGATGAGTTAAAAAAGGGGAAAGGTGTCCCTACAAATGAAGATTGGGAAATTGTACGCTCAATCCTTCCGTTTTTGAAATTATTTTATGATGCTACACTACGCATCTCTAGTTCCTCTTGTGTGACTAGCAATATGTATATGTTTGAGGTCCTTGGTATTGGAATTGCAATTAAGCAAATGTGCAATTCTGAAGATGTACGTATAAGTTTAATGGCCAAAAACATGAGAAAGAAATACGATAAGTTTTGGGGAAATCCCCGTAGTCTAAACATGTTGTTGTTGACCGCTCTCGTATTAGACCCTAGACACAAAGTGAAATTTGTAAGTTGGTGTGCCGATAAAAATTATAATGGCGGGGAAGCAACTTATTTGATAGATAAGTTAAGGTCTTGTTTGAACTCCCTTTTTGAAGAGTATAATGGTGGGTTGGAGGTGTCTCACACTAACTCTAAAGAAGGCGGTTATAATGATCCATATGGCTTCAATAAATTTTATCAATCAAGTGAATTCAACAAATCTGAATCTGAGTTAAGTAAGTACTTAGACGAAGCCTTAGAGAGTTGTGGAGATTTGGATGTCCTAAACTGGTGGAAGCTAAACTCAAGCCGATTTCCAATCATTGCAAACATTGCAAGAGATGTGCTGGCAATACCTGTCTCCACCGTGACCTCTGAATTTGCATTTAGTCTTGGTGGAAGGGTGCTTGATCCGTATCGAAGTTCTCTGCCGCCAATAACAATGGAAGCTCTTATTTGCGTCCAAGATTGGCTTATGGGAACTTCATCGTTGCATACAAGTGCAGAATTTGAGAATCTTGAAAAGATTGAGCAAGGTAAGAAAACAAGATGTATTAGATAGTATTCTATTATTTATTGTATTACATTATATGCCTTGATACAAAAAGAGATTTCTTTCTTTCTTTTGCAGAACTGATTTCTTTACATGATGTTGCTGGTCTTGATGATGATTGATGGAGATGAAGCATATAAAATGTAGACCCTATTCATAACACAGGATTGACATTGTAGAGTTAACAACATCCGAAAAGGGAGAAAAGAAGCCAATGATACCGATAATTGTTGGAGATGCGAGCATGGCTGCTGTTTCATTTTATGACGAAGATATGTGCATCCTCAATGTGAAAAATGATTTTAATGTCAAGGAAGGAAGGTTTGAAACATTTTGATTCAATTCAAGGGTTAACCTTCCATCTTGGAGGGGAAAGAATGAACTTTATCACAAATGATGAATATTTTTGCTACCGAGAAAATGGATTTCAATGTAGATCTGGAAAGAAAATGTTCTCTTCTAACTATGGAGCACACACACATCAATATCTCAAAAGATAACACACCTTGCTCCTTGCAAACCATAAAAAGTACATATAATATTAAACATATGTAATGTAGAAAATAGGTTGTCTCAACATGGCATAGTATATGTGAATAATGGATTATAATGTGTTTGATGATGATCCATTGTTAACTCCACTCTTTGGAGGCCGTGGCTTGCAACTCGTCCTGTCTTGGTTATTTTTGTTTATACTAACTGGAAGACAATTTCGTATTTTTGTTGTCAATGGATGCCCTGATCTAAACTTAGATTTATTGTGTTGTAGTTTCCACCTGCAAGAACATTTATGGAATGCATGTAATTCTGCACAAGAGAAGTGATTGTAATCTTACTGCAGTTAAAAGTTATGAGCCGTGACGTATCCAGGGTCGTCCAGTAATCTAGGTGTATGAAAGTGTCTATAAGTTGCTTGATGTTTCCCCATCTGGTTGTGAAATAAAATATTGCATTGATCCTATTTTAGTTTTTCCAAGCTTTAAAATAGTTTTATATAGTGTTGTCCATGTTTTGACCATGGAGACACTGCTCATGTTATCATAATTAATGGGACGCAAATAGTTGATTAATATAATTTATAATCTGATTATTGAATTAAAAATTAAAGTTTTATATTGGGAATCGCCTTAGTTAATGGTATGCAATGAATTGGTTGATAATCTTTATAATTTAGTTAATGAGCTTTCAAACATAAAAAATATTAAGACTCTTTGGCACGACCATTTTTGAGCTTCTAGTTTATGGCTTATAAACTTATATGATAATAAAAGATCTGTTTGGTAAGAGTTTTTTCATTTCGAGCTTATAGTTTATTTTATTAATTTATAGTTTGTCTATAATAAAAGATCTGTTTGGTAAGAGTTTTTTCATTTTGAGCTTATAGTTCGAGCTTATAGTTCGAGCTTATAGTTTATTTTATTAATTTATAGTTTATTTTTCAGACGCTATTTTAAATAGCATTTTAGCTTATCATTTTTTCTTTAATTTTTGTCATTATTTTAACTAAAAGCCACTAGTACCCTTTATAATTTATTTTTAATTTAAATAAATCAATTATATGTTAAATGGTTTTATGTCATTTTAATTTATCAACTAGTACCCTTTATAATTTATTTTTAATTTAAATAAATCAATTATATGTTAAATGGTTTTATGTCATTTTAATTTATCAACTAATTGAACCATTAATTTTACCAAACACGTGTTTCAATTAGTTTATCAGTTATAAGTATAAGAACAAGATTTGCTTCTACATATGGTCTTTAAGTTTTGATGATAACTGCACAAGTTATCTAAAGGAACAATTCTGTATGATATGGTTTCTGTCTAGTGTGTTGTTGTTATTAATATGATTTTGACTCTGATAAGAAGATGTGTGACGTCATCATACTCTATTATCAACACTCTTGAAGAAAAACATATATATGTATAAGACAAGTCAAGATTCAGAAATACTTCTAATACATAGGTTTTAAGGAACATTAGTAATGAAGTTTCTGATTGATACTTTATAAGTTAGTCTAGAAGGCTTTACAAGAAATTTGCTTTACATTGATACGATTATGAAATTTCTAAAAACATGGTTCTGGTGAATAAAGCTCTGAAGATTCTGAAGACATAATTTCTAAAGATAAAGTTCTGAAGAGTTTCTGAAAATAAGGTTCTGAGTGAACAAAGTGCTGAAGACTCTGAAGAAAAAAGTGTGCTTAATGAAATCTAAAGACTCTGAAGATGAGGTTCTGATAGAACAAATTATGAAAACTGTGAAGATAATGCTTTTGAGAAACCAAGTGCTGAAGATTCTTATGACAAGGTTCTGCTAAACGAAGATCTGAGATTCTAAAGACTGTGGTTCTGAAGATTACACAAAGAAAGACTCTTCTACTACATGCTTCATCAAGTTAATATCTGAAGCCTCTGAAGATGCTAGAAGACTGAAGATAAGAATGGTTTTTAAGCTGAATATAATAGTACTAAAATTGTTTTCTCTACCTTGAAAAGGTGGCGCAGGAGCAACTTTTTGTACAGTGATGTTGACCATTCCTTCACTTGAACTTTGGGATATTGTTGTTGGAGTATGTTTTCAAGAATACCCCTCAAAAGATCTATTCTCTCAAGTTCTATAAATTGAAGATCAAGAAGCTTGAAGAATTGCTGATTTTGCGAATAATAGATAGCGAGTTGATGATGATAGCACACTACTATGCAAATTCAAAGTGTTGAAGAAAATGCTACAAGCTGAAGCTTAAATGAAGAATGTGCAATGAAGATGAAGCTGAAGCAAACAATTAAAATGCGAACAACGATGCAACATGCTGAAGCCATGTGAAACTAGTCAAGTGAAACATCAATAAGTGAAGCATAGTAACTTAGTTGATCTTGATGGTTAAACTGAAAAAGTATTATATGCTCAAGAAGGATTTAATTAGGAGAAGCTAAAAGCTTATGAAAAGAAGCCATAGTGCTCATCAAGAAAGCTTCTAAGTAATACAGAACTAATGTTTTATAATCTCTCAGAGATTCATTCTTTAGATAATTTTCTGTATTAGAAAGCAAGGATTTGCTGCTCATATCTTGTTTAGAAACACTTAGGTGTTCATGTACTTCATCTGTGTAATCAGCTTGTAAGAAGTATATTAGTGCACAAAGAAAATCCTTGAAAAAGGTGTTGTTCCTTGAGCGGTAGAGTGAAAACCATAATGCTTGAGATGACTAAGTGTGTTTCTAACAGCTTAGTGGATGTTGTTCCTTAAGCGGTCAAGTGATGTCAGAAGCTTGAGAGGGTCAGGTCGTTGTTAACAGCTTGAAGGTTGATTCCTTGACAGGCGAATGAATGCCAAGATTCTCAAGAAGGCAATGGAAGGTATCCATTGGGGTTGTAATCGTTGATGATTATGGGATTAAGTCCTTGTGATAAAGCGAAATCACCTTGAGGGGTGGACTGGAGTAACTTCGTTAACAGTGAACCAGGATAAAAATAACTGTGTCATTTATTTTTATTGTCATTGTTATATTTATTCTTCTAATTCCGCAAAATGGGACAAAATGTGAAACTCAATTCAAACCCCTATTTCTTGTGTTTCTTAACCTTCAATAAGTCATCAGCCATCAACTATAAGTTATAAGATATCAATTATCAGTCATCAGTCATAAGTTATAAGCTATCAACTAGCTTATCAACCAACCACTATTTTTACCAAACAGAGCCTAATAGTCTTAATAAAATAAAGTTGGTTAATTAATAGTATAAGTAAAATAAAATTGGTTAATATAATTTTAACCAATATAATTTATAATTTAATATCTAAAAATAGTTAATACTATCTTTTATTGAATAATAAAATAGTGAAAGTGATTAATAATATAATCTTATATTTATATTAAAAAATAAGTATTTTTTATTATAAATAATACTTTTTAAATATATTGTTCACGCTATACACATAGGTTTTATTTGGCAAGACTTTTTTTTTCTTATAGCTTTTAAACTCATATAACAACAAAAAAACATGTTTGGTAACACTTTTTTCATCATGAGTTTATAGCTTATTTTACTAACTTATAACTTATTTTTTAGACGCCATTTTAAATAGCATTTTAACTTATAACTTATCATTTTTCCTTTCACTTTTGTTTTTATTATTTTAACTAAAATTCACTATTATTCTTTATAATTTATTTTAATTTAAATAAAATAATTCTATATATTAAATGTCTTATATGTCATTTTAATTTATCAACTAATTGAGCCACTAATTTTATCAAACACTTCATTTAATTTATTAGCTATAAGTCTTTAACCGTCAGTTATAAATTATAAGCTATCAGTTATGAACCATAAGTCATAAGTTATAAGTTATCATCTAACTTATCAACCCACCACTATTTTTATCAAACATAACAATATTCTTCATGAATAAGATATTCATGTACAATGACTATCTTAAACCTAATAGCTTGACTATATCAAAATCAAATACCTTTTTGTTTTGAATGGAAAATAAAAAATATTAAAAAGGGGAAAAATATTAAATGTACAACAATGTATCCACAAAGTTTGAGAAGTGTCTCGAAACAGCTAAAGCTAAATAAGATATAAAGAAACAAAATAAACACGAACATCCAAAAGCACAACTGAAGACGAGACCACACAGAAACAGACCTCAACCACTAAAGAATCACTTCACTAATCACATGTTAGATATCAAAGCAAGTAGATACACCATCAACTGACTAGATTCCATGGAAAGAAACACAGAAGATTCACCATCACACTCTCAATCAAGACGAACACTCGATCTACTATAAGTGCAAGTAGAGGATAAAATCCCGAAGCCAATCTATTCCAAGCAAAAAAACGAGCTTCTTATCAACCCCTCTCGCTATTTTTGTGGCTCTGTTAAAGATGACATCATTTATGGCTTTTCAGATCAGCCAGACTACGACATTCCTAATCGTAAGATAATCATCCCTAAACTTAGCCCTACTCCTCAAATAAAGAAAAGACTAAAAAAGATCCTATGATTCTGATGAATAACTACCTATCACCCCAACAACCTAAAAGTTATATACAACTTTTAGAATGGTATATCACAAGTGGCAAAAAGATGAGAGATCATCT